CAGGCGGCTGTGTGGCGACCTGGGGGAGCCTGGTGCTCCAAGGATACGTGATTTTCCCCGCCTTTATTTGACCGGGGAACGTAGCGTCATTACTGCGAGTGCAGTTTGTCTCCCCCGAGTCACAGCTGCAAAGAACCTGTGTGTCTCCTCACTGCCCAGACACCAGCTGTGTCTGAAGTAGGCCTTGTGCTCCCCCTGTACGTACCTGGTGAATGCACAAGGGGCTTTCACTAGAGAAGGGAAGAATCCCTAAAGTTTATTCCCTCCTCGAAGAGACCAGGAAGGGTAGAATGATAGGTTTTAAGGAAGTGTCCTTCCCACAGGCAGCTTTTTGGGTCCTGTGTAGCTAAGCATGTTCAGAATTATTCCGAAAATACATACATAGGTCTGTCAGCATTTTTAAACAGTGTAAGATGGCTCACTTGACATTGGTTATGGGTGGAGGAGTTAGACAAGATGACTTCTAAAGATCCCTCTCAAGCTATATTATTCCGTGTTTCAAGTAAAAATAAGAGAGTAGGTGCACTCAGTGCTGGTAAGAACAAAACATGAAGGGAGAAATCTTAGTGCAACTTTGATGCAACGAATAGGCAAGCGCTTCCGAGGGTCATTGTGGCAATTCTGTCAAAGAAGAGCTCAGTTATGATGGAGAAGGCAGACTGAGACGTTGTTTCTAAGAAAAGAAATTGTCATCAAAGTACGGGTTGGTTGGTTGTGCCTTTAGTCTGCTAAGGCAGTATGAGCTGTAGATACAGGGGTGCAAGACCTCTGCATTCATCTCTTGCAGTTTAGCTACCTAAGGAAGACTACCCAGAAGACTAGTCTTCTGGTGAGGCAGTGGTGCCTGGTTTTGCCTCTAAGGAATTGTCTTCATACAGGACATCTATTTGTATGTGTTCTGTCAAAAGGGCCACCACCTGAGATGCAGGTATTTAGTCCTCTGCCTGCTCTTTGGAGGGAGATTTCAGCTTGCCAGTGGAAGCAAACACCTGGGTTGATACCAACACCTGTGGTTACTTTGTTACAGAAGAGAATCTCAGGCCCTGTTACAGGAGCCCAAAATCAGTATGCCATTGCATGAGTTGATGGTGTCCTTGTATGTGTAACGCTCTGTGCTCTTCTGGTTATCACACTTCAGAAAGGGTGTAACAGACCAGAGTAAGGCAACGGGTAGGATAGAAGGATTAAGAGCTTGGACAGTCTTTAGCGAGATACAGAATGGTTTCTATATGTGAAAGAGTAACTAAATAGACCCGAAGGAGGACATGAGGGGAGAGTATAATACAGAAGAGTAGCCTTTTAAGTTATGAACAGTAAAGGGAAGACATGAGAAATGCATAGTATTATCTAATCAAAAAGCAAATTAAGAACAAAAGGAAGTACTTTTCCACAAATAATGAAACTCATTGCCTCAGGATGTTATAGAGACAATGTATAATTGGGTTCAAAAAGGATTTATTTAAACGTATGGAAAAGAGGTTCATAACTAGTGCTTGGATTTTGCCTCTGGCTCCTCAGGAAATCCCAGAACAGCTGATTGGTTTCTATTGGTTGCAGAATAGAAGATCATTCTACAGAAGTACTTTCTTCTTGCACTCCTTCCTAAACATCTAAGCTAGGTACTCCAGAACCCTTTCACATTTCAAAAAGCTTTTTTTTTTTAATCTTTCTTCAAAGGCAGAAACAAAACCCCCTAGGGCTAGTGGTAAAACATAATATTATGTAGTGTAACTTAGTATTAAACTAGTGTAAATACAGTAGTATCAAGTCATGCTCTGTAATGTTTGCAGTGTGGATGTCCAGCACAGGTACTTAGGGTGGAGTGAGACATTGAGGCTAAATGACTTTAGTACAAGAATAATGTTTGCAAGAACAATACAATTACAGCTACTACGGTGGCTTTGAATAAACAGCTGAATGATACATTATGGCCTTTAGATATATAAATCCTATATTTCATCAACCTGTTAAGTTACCGTAATGCTAGTATTGGTGTCCCTGCCCATGGCAGGGGCGTTGGAACTAGGTGATCTTCAAGGTCCCTTCCAACGCAAACCATTCTATGATTCTATTGAAATACTAGATTATACACATAATTCCGTTAGTAGTTCAGAAGTCATTAAGAGTTAACTTGCATTTGTAGAAATGGTGTCTTATTTAGTTCAAGTATGTATTTTTTTGCGAATAGAAATTAACACATCACTAATTCTATAGTCTGATATTACAGAATACTACAAACTAGTAAAGGCCACGGTGTTGACAAGAACAGTGCTTATTTCCTTGCTACAGTGACCTGAAATTCATAGTTTCTTTGCAATTTGTGAATTATTTTTGCAGATGGGGAAAGTTTGTGCCATTTTTGGAGGATCCCGAGGAATAGGAAAAGCTGTCGCAGAATTACTGGCACAGAAAGGCTGCCACCTGGCGATTATTGGTCGAAATCTGGAAGTAGCCCAAACCACTGCGCAGAGTCTTGGTGGTACGTATGCTGCTGCTTTGCAATTATTTCTTCACTGTCTGATGCGTAGGTAACCTGTAAAAGCAGTAAGTCATTAAATAAACCTCATCGTTTAACGAGATGAAAATAAAGGCTGAGGAATTTGGAAGAAAAGCTGTACAATTTTGTTTTTGTAATGTTCATTGGGAAAGTGAAGCGTGTTGCCTGTTCTGTCTGCAAGATTCAAATGGTAAGATGAAAGGAAATGTTCAAGGCCACAACAGGGAGGTGGTATGAATTGAGTCATCCTTGGCTTCTGACCAAGCCAGAACTGAGACCAGCCTGCTGATGCTGACTTCTGATTTCAAAAGGCCAAAAGTATAAACAAGAAATGGTCACATAACTAATAAATACTTAAAAAATGTCCTTGTTTAATTCTCTGGAGATTAAATAGGTTCCTCAAGTTCTAACTAGTTCAACATCTGTTTTTGCAATTGGGTTGATGAGTTCTGAAGCAGGTTTAGGAGCAACATACCGTCTTGTACTATTATTATGATGTGCCTTTATTTCAATATAGCAGGGCATCTGGCAATTAGGTGTGATGTATCCAGTGAACAAGAAGTCCAAAATGCTTTTGAGGAGATGCAGAGGAATTTAGGTCCTATTAACTACTTGGTTAATGCAGCTGGGATCAACAGGTCAGTTACTCATTACAAGATTATATGTAACTCTAGATGACAGCTTCTTACTGTAAAGTGCACTTACTGTGGTGTTAATGAGCACATCTGAAAACAGCGTGAAGTGCTCACTGATGTTTTGTTCCTGATGACAGTAATGACATCTAACAGATGATACAAGTTTCACTGTAGTTTCTGCATTCTGAGTTTGAGTTCCCCCTCAATTTTTCTTTCTTCCCCTTTTTCCCCCTGAAATGGTCCAAAGCAATGTTTGATACCTCTCTGCAAAGGAGGCTTTGCTACCAGCAGCACAGCTAGCTTTTTTCCTTGCAATGTCGCACTTTTGAATGCTAGAATGTATAGAACCATGTAAATCCCCATTGATACTCCATCAGTCATATTTTATTATGAGTAAATGTGATCACTGGGGTTGCACAGTGAGTTCTTTTTTTTTTTTTTTTTGTCTGTTTGTCAGGGATGGTTTGTTACTGAGAACCAAGACTGAAGATATGGTAGCCCAGATTCACACTAACCTTTTGGGAACAATGTTGACATGCAAAGCTGCTGTAAAAAGCATGATTCGACAACAGGGAGGTGCTATTGTCAATATAGGTAAGTTCCTTGTCTAACCCAGTGGAATTCTATGAGCTAGTTTTCTAGGAAGGCTTAGCAGGTGTAACATGTTGAAATGTTACTTGTTACAATTGACTTGTTTTCCTTGTAATTAGACATTCTGCATTTAACATTTCTTTATGGATGCTTATTCTTTTGTGGAATTTCAGCAACTTCGAAATGGAAAACCAGCTTGTTTCAGTAATAAATACCTCAGAGATTATATTTTATGGAATGAAAAAAATGTTACCATTCTTTATCAGCTCTTTCAGTAGCTGAATCTACCAGCTCCTAGTTAGTAGCTAAGAGTCAAATAGGTACAGTTGGTTTCTTTCTGTTTGTTTCTTGCTCCTGTGCAAGCATATTTTTTAGGAAGCACTTCATCTTTCTCTCCTGGTGCCTGTTTGTCAGCATAAGATATATGGATTCCACAAAAATCACAGATAATTGAGGGATTTGCTTATCCCAGCAGTAGGCTATAAAGTACATTTAGTAATATACTTTTAATTCCTTTTCTTGTAAACTCATTGTCCATTCCAAATATAAAACTAACATGATGAAGCTAATACAAGGTTTCAGATTAGTCATTTAATCTTCTCTTTGATGTTTATTTCTAGGTAGTGTTGTAGGACTTAAAGGCAACTCTGGTCAAAGTGTGTATAGTGCTACCAAAGCAGGATTAGTTGGATTTTCACGCTCCCTTGCTAAAGAAGTAGCGAAAAAGCAAATTCGAGTCAATGTGGTTGCTCCAGGTTAGTTCTGGGGAAATTCCTACATCCTTGACTCTTGCTTTACATCAAAACTGCTGGATAATGCTGTACTCTGAAAGTATCTTAATACAAGTTGCTATTATATTCATCAACTTTTGTAAGTAAATGTTTTTAATATCTTTTTTCAGTTTAAAGTATAATACATTCTTTTATAAGACCTTCTGTCTTTTTAAGGGAACA